AATGGTCTAAAAGCCTGGAGTTCACTCATTCATTCATTCAATAAATATTGACTGTCAATAAGTGCCAGGCCTCAAACTAAGAACAAAACAAATGCAAAACCAGACATAGGTCTTAGAGTCTATAGAGCAACAGAAATAACAGAAATAAATGTGTAATTATGAACTGTGACAAATTCCAGGCAGAAAAAGAGGCTGTAAGGCACATATAACTGAGGTATGTGATCTGTTCTGGGTTTCAGGGAAGGTTTACAAGAGAACAAATCTTCTGAGCTAGGGCTGGTTATTTAATTTGGTGCCTCGGTCTTCTCATTGGTAAAATGGGGATAATACCACCCCCATAGACTCACAGAGACATTGTGAGAAGAGTGATCATGTACATGAAAGGTTTAGAAAAATGCTCAGTGTACCTAAAAGTGAGTGTGTTGCTCTGCAGCCAGAGGCAGCTGTTCCCTAGCTTCTTCATCTGTCGTCAAGCCAGGCATTCATTACTCAGGCATTCACACTGTAGACCTTTGATCATTTTCCTCCACCCTGCCAGGCAGCTGGGGTCGGACACACCTGGGGTTAACCTTGCTTCTGCCATTTACATCTAGTGTGAATTTCAGTAAGTTCCTTAACTGCTAAAACTCACTTTTCTCATTTGTGAAGTGGGGGCAATAATAGTATCAGCTCATGGCTTAAAGCTTGTAAAGCACTTAGCATATTGCGTGTGGCTTGTTGTTATTCCTAAACCAATTGTAGCTACTGTTATTGTCATTGTTATCATTGCTAATTATTAACTCTTCCAATTAGTCCTTGGTAATAACTTTGGTCATTTAAGTCCTTCCATTCCCACTGTCACCAGCTAGTCAAAGCCCTTGTCATGTGACAATTGCCATAGTCTTCTAATCAGTGTCCTTCCTGCCTTGGCCCTCATGTTTCTAGTTTATTCTACACAGCTTCTAGAATTAGCTTCCTAAAATAACAGTGCTTTGTATATATCGCCTCTTTTCTTTGATGTTATCATTGAAAAAAATACTGCAAGTATATATTGCAGCTCATATCACAAAGAGCTAAGCCTCCTTATTTGGAAGGAGGTCCTAGAAAATTGATAATAAACCTACAAATGAATAGAAAAATGGAAGTACAAATTCCAAAAATAAAAAAAACAAATGGCTATTAAACATGAAAAGATGAGCAGCCTCAGTTATTATAAGAGAAATGCAACTTAAAATCGCACTAAAATTCATATTTTATTTATCAGGTTGACAAAAATTCAAAAGTTTAATGACATATTCTTGCCAGCATGGGGAAACAGGCATTTTCTTATATTACTGGGGAGTAGAAATTGTTGCAATCCCTATAGAAGGCAATTTGGCATTACTTATCAAGATTACTCGGCAATTTTACCTCTGGAAATTTGTCTTACTGATATACTTACACATATCAATGACGTATGTACAAGATTATTCACTGCAATGTTGTTTGTAGTAGGAAATTATGGGAAGCAATCTAAATGTCCATCAATAGGGCACTAATTGAATAAATTGTGATACATATCTTCAAAGGAATAGCATGCACTAATATGGTAAAATATCCAAGACACATTAAGTGAAAAAAAAGCCAAGTGTAGAACTGTAGGTATAGTACATCACTTTTTGTGTAGGGGTGGGGTTAACACACATGCTCAGAAAAACTCTGGTAGCCATATACAATATTAATAGCTGTAGATATCTATGGTGGGAGGGAGACTGGGCAGATGGGGGACACAGTTAAGAGGAAGGCTTTTCACTGTATACCATTATATTTATATTTTAATTTGTGAACCGTGCAAATATTACCTAATCAAATGATTGTATTAAAATATTCCTATTACTCATCCATTAATGTATTGCACACCTACTGTGTGCTAGGCACTGTGGATACAGGTATGAAAGTAGTCGTGGTATGGTGGCAAGTCTGCTGAACTTTGGTTGAAATACCTGATTCTGCTTTGATTAAAATTCTGATTCAGCTTCTCACTAGCTATGGATCTTGGCACATAGTATGCATGCAACAAATATTTGTTGAATGAATTTATGGTTGAAGTTACTTAATCTTCCTGAGTCTGTTTCCTCCCATATAAATGGACATAAAGATGCTTCTTATCTCCCAAGGGTATTGTGATGACAAGCGATAGAATGGGTCACCAATTCTAGTAATAGTTAATGGTAACTACTATATGCTAGGCACTTTCACATCCATTACTTCCTTGACTCCTCCGATTTATTCACTCACTCACTTATGAGGAAATGGAGGGATTAAGAGGAACAGTGACTTGACCAAAGCTTCTCTGTATGTTGTCTTCTGGTCTTTCTTTATTGTTACCTCCCCATGATGCACCACGCAATAGAAATTTTACATATAGTAGGTGCTTGGGGAATTTGAAAATCAAGAAAAACCAAAGTAAGTTTTACCACTGTTTTCACTGACACCCCAGAACAGCAGGAAGTCAGTAAATGCATTTCTAATAATTCAATTTAGAAGTATACCAGCTGGTCTGTTTGACACTCACTGCAGTAAACACTTTGGGAAAATCCAACAAAAATCAAAAGTTTGTGCATCTAATGAGGTAGGAAAGATTAAAAAAAAACCCACAAAACAGCCATACGTAAAATGTAGAAACTCATTCTTAAGGATGCTGCACTTAGAATCTTGCAGACTTACCAATAGGTCTTTCTTGGGGGAATGATATAAAATATATCCAACATGACATGATTTTTAAAACATTTTTACAGGAGTAAAACATACATGCAGAGCAGTGCACAAACCAATTAATTATTATAAAGTGAAAGACAGTTAATTTTTATAAAATAGGACACATTTATGTAACCAGCACCCGGGTCAAGGAAAAGAACACAAGCACACCTCGTTTTATTGTGCTTTGTTTTATTGCACTTCACAGATGTTGCGCTTTTTACAAACTGAAGACCCTCCACCAGCAAAAAGATTGTGACTTGCTTTATTGTGATACTCACTTTATTGCAGTGTTCTGGAATCGAACTTGCAATATCTCCAAGGTACACCTACAGTACCAACACCTAGAGAGATCCCCCTCTGGGCTCCCTTTCCAACACTACCCACTCCTCAAGATAATCACTATCTCCACCTTTAACATCATGGATATGTATTCTTTTGTGCCCAGCTTTAAAGCATCTCTTTGAGTGTAGATGTAGCTCATTCATTCTTATTATTGTATAGTATTCCACACAGTTTATTTCTCTTCCATTGATGGACATTTGGGTTGTTTCTTTTAGGCTGTTATAAAGAGAGACGCTATAAACATTTTGAACATGTCTTTGGTGAATCTGTGCATACATCTCTGTTAGGCATATACCTAGGGATGAATTGCTGGGTCACAGGCTACCTGTTCATTTAGTAGATAATGCCAAACAAGTTTCTAAAGTTCTCTAATTTTAGCCATTCTGGTGGGTGTGAAGTGAGACTGCAACTTCAATTTGCAGTTCTGGGATGATTAATAATTGAGAACTTTTTCATGTTTGTTGGCTTTTTTTTGAGAAATACTTGTTTATCCCCTCTTGAGAAATATCTGTTGAAATAATCTGCCAATTTTCTGTTGGATTTTCTGCCTTCTTCTTGCTGATTTGTAAGTGTTATTTTTACATTCTTTGGATATATGTGTTGCAATTATCTTTTCTCACTCACTTGGCTCGACACGTCCCTAATGGTGTCTTTTGATGAACAGGAGTTCTTAGTATTATTGTTGTCTGATGATCACTTTCTTCCTTTATAGTTAGTACTGTATGTGTTTAAGAAGTCTTTGCCGAAGAAAAAAAGAAGTCTTTGCCCACCTCAAGGTCATGAAGATTTTTTAATATTTTCTTTGGATAGTTTTACTGTTTTCCCTTTTACATGTATTCGCAGATGTAAAATCCATCTGGAATTGATTTTTTTGGTATGGTACGAGGTAGGGGTCAAAGTTCTTTTTTCTCCGTGTTGGTTGGTGTTCAGTTGATCCAGCATAATTTACTGACAAGATAGACTGTCCTTTTCCAGTGCATCCCAGCAGCATCTTTGACATAAATCAAGGACCGTATAATGTAGATCTCTTCCTACAGTCTCTATTCTATTGGTCAGTTTGTCTATTCTTGCTGCCAGTTACTATTTCTATAGCTTTTTAATAGATGCTGATATCTGATAGTGTAAGTCCTCTAGTTGGCTCCAATTTTTCATCCCACCAAGCCATCTAGTACTGAAGTGCCACTTTTACCTCCCACTTTGCTTTCAATATGTCCAGGCAGGTGTAACGGATTTGCCTGTTTTCATGGCTTGGTTATTTGTGGTTACCTGGATCTTTGTCCCATCAAAGCCCTTTAAACTGAAAGCCAGCTAGGTGTCTGCAGTTGAGCAAAGCCAATCTGCTGGGTAATTAAATAACGCGGGGAAGGGGGAGGAATGGATTAGAAGGGGTTGTCTCTCGAGAGGGGTAGAGTGAGGAAGTAAGTGGTCGATCTACGTTTGAGGATAGTCTTTTCGGGGACATACGAGGAGAGCCAAACTAAAATCTGAGCAGACGAGTGCAAAGCGAGGTCACCGCATGTAAATGTCGCGGGGGGTTCCGCCAGGCGGTGCGAATCGGCTTGCCGGGGTGGGGCCGCGAAGCCTCAAATCACCAGTTGAGGGCCAGAGAGCGCGCCTCCGGCTCAGAGCCGCGCTTGCAGCTGCCAGGACCGGAGCCGTCCGGCGCACCGGAGAGCCGCGCGCGGGCATCTCGGCGGGCGCTCCCGGACGACGATGAGCGGCCCCAACTCCCAGAGCAGCCGCAGCGCGGGGGCCTCTGTGCGGAGCCTTTGAGCCCCAGCCGCAGAACCGAGCGCCGCGCGGGAGGTGAGTTTCCACCCGGCGCCGCGCGTCCCGCGGGGTGGCTGAGCCTCCCGGGGCGCCTCGGCTTCTCCCTCCCCGTGGAGGACAGGCTGGGAAAGTTTTTGGAGAAAGTTAGGCTACAGGGAAAGTAGAGACGGCGCCCTCCTCCAACCCCCCAGCAGAGGTGGCGTTTGGGGACAGGACTGACTGAAGTGGCTACGGGACTTGCGCCCTCGGGGGGCCCTGAACCGGCTGGGATTTCCCCAGATATGGCCCGCGGCGAGAGGCGCCCAGCGACTTGCGGCGAGCATCTCTGCTCTTTGCTCTGGAGCGGCATCTTCCCTGGCCTCTCCTGAGCCCCTGCAGGTCCAGGTTGCTCGGCCAGCCGCCCCTCTCCGTCCGGTCCCTCTCTGTCCCGAAGCCGGCGGGGGTCAGGGGACGCGAGGACCAAAGGGCTCCGCTGGAAGCCCTGGGCTTGGAGAAGGAGAGTTTCGCCACTGATCTCTTGGAAAGTTTGCAAAGAAAGCGAAGGAGCCTGCCGTGTAACTGTTGACAACATCTCCCTCCCTCTCTCCCTTTGTTGAGAAAGAATGAATAGTTGGTTGTGTCGCTCCCTCGGCTTCGGAGAGGGGAGGGAAGGGGAGGTGAAGGCAGAGAAGGGAGGGAGGACGGACGGACGGACGGTGGGCGCGACAGGAAGGAGGTTCAGATCTCAGACCATCTTTCCTTACCGGATGAGACTGCCACCACTTTAAAAGTTTGATCAGGTGTAGACAGACATTCATCGGGGAAAGATCTAGTGGGCTCCGAAGTAGGTGGTGAGGCGGCGTGTTCCGTGGGGAGCACGGTGGGTCGTTGCTGGGGTTTGGGGGGAGGGTGGGGGTGGAAAACTCTGTTTTTGGTGTTATCTCGCTTGAAGCAGGGTACGAAAGGGAAAGACCGGTTGCCTTAACTTAGCCTCTGCTTTTGCCTAAAGCCATTAGCTGAGATAGAAAACAGAGCCAGGCATTCAGAGATTCTTTTAAACCTTGACTCTTATCTCCCAAGGCTACGTACGCACCGCTCTCCAAGGAAAATACATTGGCGGAGGGGAGGTCAGTTCGAGAGCGGATAATCTCCCCGCGTGTTGCCAAGGACTGGGGCGAGATCCGGGAAGCCGAGGGAGGCCTCGGCGCTGGGGGCGGGGCGCAGCAGAGTGGGGTCCGCAGTGGAAGAGGCTGCCGACTTAATAATGGGGAGGCCACAGGCCTGGCGGCTGTACGCGGGCGTGCAAGGGGACGGGCGACGGCATACAACGTAAACAGCTTGCCATGCCAGGGGCTCCCTCACTCCCACCCCACTCCAACTTTTTCTAAACTGCTGCTGACATTTCTAGGATGACTAACCAAGCTCTCAGTCTCCCCTATTCATACAGAAAGGACTGCTTGTCAAATGGATGCTAATCTTAAGAACCTTATCATGTAAATCCTGTTCTGTGTTGCTTGAAATACAATCCATGGAAGAATTATTCATACTTCAATCATTTGGCTAGACTTCAGAAGTTTACTTCAAAAATAAAGGGATACCCTTAATTTTTAAACCCACGTAAAACTTCATTCTAAGTTAATAAGCCAATTTTATATGTGGCATCTCCTCTTCCTGTCAGACTCCGCAGAGAAGATATAAAAGTACATATCCAAATTGCCAATTCTCTGCTGTGGTCATAATGGGGCAGTACAGGCAGTTACATTTTCAGAGTTTAAAATATTATAGAAAGTTCTTAAAGCCCACATCATGTGACCATCTGAGTTTGACCTGAAAATATCTCATTTCAAAAGTGAAATAGAAAAATCCAAGCCAGTGGGCCGCTTATTTCTGCCTTGACTTCCATGTGATCATCAGTTTCTTTGAGACATCCTGGTAAAGCAAGTGAGTCTGGCTGCTATTCCCAAGCGTTTCCAAGCACAGCCACTGACCAGAGTCAGGAAGGTGGCACATAAGTTGGGAATGTGTCAGGCTTGCTGTTATCCCTGTTGAGATTTCAGCTGTTTGAATGTTCACATTGGTTTTATATCCCTATCAAGATATATAGAGTCTTTGACCTTTGTACAGTCATTCACCAGTCACCAACAGGGATGCATTCTGGGAAATGCATCATTAGGTGATTTCATCGTTATGCGAACATCATAGCGTGCACTTACACAAACCCAGATGGTACAGCCTACTACACATGTAGGCTACATGGTATGGCCTATTGCTCCTAGGTTACAAACCTATACAGCATGTTACTGTACTGCATACTGTAGGTAATTCAAATAGTAAATATTTGTGTATCAAAACATACCTAAACACAGAAATGGTACAGTAAAAAATACAGTGTAAAAGATAAAAAATGGTACACCTGTACAGGGTATGTACCATGAATGGAGCTTGCAAGACAGGAAGTTGCTCTGGGTGAGTCAGTGAGTGAGTGGTGAGTGAATGTGAAGGCCTAGGACATTACTGTACACTACTATAGACTTTATAAACACTGCATACTTAGGCTACAATGAATTTATTAAACAACACGAGATTAAATCAAACATAAGAGAAAAATAATGTCGTTAAGAGATGGAGTGAGCATGAGATGCATGTGTCTGAGCTGGTATAACATGGCATACTGTTTTATAGCAAATTGGTTTTTTTTATAAGTAGAAAGAGTACACTCTAGAAGAAGGATAAAAAGTATAGTAAATATACAACCCAGTGACATAGTCATTCATTATCATTACCAAGTATTATCTACTATACCTAATCGTACGCACTATACTTTTATACAACTGGCAGCACAGGTTTGTTCACACCTGCATCACCACAAACACATAACACGGTGTATTACGATGGCTATGACATCACTAGGCGATACAAATTTTCAACTCCATTATAATCTTATGGCATCACTGTCATATATGCAGTCCATCATTGACCAAAATGTCATTATGCAGTGCATGACAATATATATTTTAAGATCTGGCATTAAACTGAGTCAGGACACTATGTCTGTTTGCCTGCACAGTAGAAAGAGGTGAAGCCTGATGGCCAAAATCTCACCTGAGTTTTTCTTTTAAAGACTGCATACCTGCTCACTTGGTGTGCCTGTGTGTGTATCTGTGTCTACATCCTACTTGGTTTGGTGTGTTTGCATTTATTGCTTTAGGTTAAACATTTACGTCTTCACCTTTCCTGGCTGCAGTCTTCCCCAGAAGCATGACTTCATTTGGGAACTCTCCTTGTAATTGAGATACAATGACAAGCAAGACAGACATGGTCCCTGCCCTTCTTAGAGGAGAATTGCTACTTATTGAGTAGCTATATGTCAAAGGCTTCCCATACACGATCACATTTACTTTTCAGAACAACCTCAGGCAGTAGGTAGTGTCAATTTTTTCAAACGAGAAACTGACTGCCAGAGAGGTTGAGTAACTTGTCCCAGGCCATACAGCTAGGAAGTCAATGGCAGAGTAGGGATTTTAACTTCTAAGTGTCTGACTCCAAAGCCTAGACTCTGAGTCAGACCACATCTAATTTTAAAACATCAAATACAGTACTGCATAAAAAGTACATGATGACTAGGAACATGAAGACGGAAACATCTCCAAGTGGAGAAAACATGGAAGCCAGAGACTGGAGACTTGGGTTTAGTCTCCACAGTGCTCTTCGAACCACGTGTTCCCACCTCAGGGCCTTGGCATTTACAGAATCCCCTGCCTGGAACTCCATCCAAATCTTCCCTTGATTGATTGCATCTCTTTTTTTCAGGCCTCATGTCATTATTACCTCTGCAGTGAGGCCTTCCCAGACCACCATAATCTAAAATAGCCCTCCATCTCCAGTCAGCATGCTCTATCATTTCATCCCATTTTGTGTTTAGTGCCCTTATGACTGGGCTATGACCTAATTTGTTTTCTTGTCTGTGTTGATTGGATTCCTCCATCACAGTGTAGGCTCTATGAAAGCAGGACCTTGTTTAGTTTATTATATCCTCAGTCCTGCAACATTGTAAACCCTCAGATAATATATGTTGAATGAGTGAATATTTATATTTCTTATCTGGAAAAGAAAGGGGCTTGATTCTCTGAGATCCCATCTCCATATAACATGCTGGGATTCTGCCTAGTGGTCAAATGTGGCAAGTGGCTTCTCTGTCAAATGGAATGTACTTGTCTTTAACCTTGATTCCAACTATACACCATGCACTTCCATCCTATGGATTTCCCCTGGGCTCTAGAAAAATTAAAAATAAATAAAGCTCAAGTAGGAAATAGAACGACCCAAAAGATTGTAAATGAGCTCCTTCCACCTGTAGTTCCCCCTTTCACCCCCTGCCCCACTTTTCTTTTAAGCTATGTCTCTGGGCTGGGCCCACCTCCCTCACCATTGGACTGATTCAAGCTTGACACAGGGTCCAGGGTTGAACCAGTCTTTCCAAGTGACTAGACACAGAACAAGGCTGTATTTTAATGGGGAGGAGTTCCAATTTAGAGGCACCCAGTTGTAGCGGAGAGCCTGGCTCACATATTTCCAATTTGTTTGCAGCTGAGAACTCTCTGGAAACTTCAACTTGGATGATATTCTCCCTCTAGTTAGTAAACTCTGCTTCACTTTCTCCAGGTCAGCATCCCTTCCTTAGGGAAGCCTTTCCTGGATGCTAGATTAATCTAGACCCTGGTCCCCACTCTGTGTGCTTCCATAGCACTGGGAATCACCAACGCTATGGTCATTGCTTATTGTTTACTTCCTCCATAGAGTAGTAACCTCATGAGGACAGTTGTTTGACACTATCCCTACACCCAACACAGTGCCTGCCACACAGGATGCCCTCCTTAAATGAGTGTTGAATAGAAGAATGAATGAATGCTTCTGTTGACTAAATGATACTTCCTCCTTGTCATTCTCTTCCATTGCCCAGGTAAAAAAAAAAAGAATCTGAGTGTAAGTTGCGGTGTACCAAAGACACTCACTTATCTAGGAGTTGTCAACCCGGCCTCCAAGTTAGACAATACTGGGGACCTTTAAAAAGGCTGCTGTCTGGGTCCTACCTGCCGAGATTCTGATTTCATTGGTCTGGATGGTGGCCAATGGATGGTCTGGATGGTCTGGATTTCATTGGTCTGGATGGTCATGGGTGTTGGGATTTTAAAAGCTTTCTGGAGGCTTCTTAATGTTCAGCCAGGTTGAGAACCACCATTTTAATTTTTCAGAACTCATTCCTCGCTTTGGTCTTTCAGGGCTTGAAGCAGCCATGGTGAGAGAGAGTAGGGATATAATTCACGGATATTGTATGGTTCCTGACAGTTTAAGAGGTACTTTCACATCTGTTATCACATCTGATAATAACAATCTAAAGGATCTACTCTCTGGTTTAAATATTCCCTTTATGTTGATGACTCTTTAAAATCTACATCTTTTTCTGGCTCCTAACTGCACATACCAGTATCTAACCTCCTAGGCCAAAACTGTCCTACTGGTACTTCACACACAATAGCTCCTGTGGGGAGTTCGTTACCCACCTTCCTACAGGGGTCCCCTTCTTACACTATTCGGTGTGTTATAGCATTGCACCATCCTCCCATGGCTGTGGCCTCTGTCCTCTCAGCCACAGGCCTCAAGCTCCTAGCTCTTCACTCTGTCCCTCCTTTTCTTTCCCCTGGCCACTGCCCCAGGTCAGGTTCTTCATCGTTCTTTGCTGGCATGTTGCCATCAGCCTGACCGACCTCTCTGCCTCCCTTCTCTCCGCTCCAGAAGTACCAGAGTTACCTACCTGGGCACAGACTGGATTCTGTCCTTCCTTTCCAGATCTTCCCCAGCGCTTACAGTCAAGTCCAGACACCTTGACACAATCTTTAAGACTTTATGACCTTCTCCTAAGCTGTGCTTATTCCAGAAAATGCATCTCCACCACTTCGCTCCAGCCAGATCGCAAAATTTGCAGTTTCCTGAGCCTAGGGGGGCACTTCCCTGTTTTTATGCATCTGCCATTACAACATCCTCCTGGAAGACTTTTCCTTACAATTTTCCACCTTTCAAAATCTTTCATCTCCAGTGATACTCCTTGAATCCTTTTGTCAAAATGAATTGTTCTTTTGTCCAGCATGTTAAGGGCCCCTATTGATGAGTCCCTGTTGATGGTCCCTATATTATTCTCTCTCAGAGTAGGACTTTTTGTTTCTTTGTGTACCTGATATGGAGTAGACACTTAAATGTTTGTTGAATTGAAAGTAGAAGGGCAGGTGTTAATATCAGAGAAGAAACTGAGGTAACTTGCTGAAGGGCATTCTAGAACAGTTAAACTCAATCTTGAAATCTAGGTAGATCTTGGATAAGCAGAGAGGAAGCAGGTTGCTGGAGACACTGGAGCCAGTGTAACTTTTGCCCATCATTCTAGCCTGGAAATAGAGTTGATCAACCATGTTGCCCTTTGCACACAAAGAGCCTCTGTGGGGTGCTCTGGGCCTCCCTACAAGGTTCTTTGAGATGATCCAGGCCTGTTAATGAAGAAAGAAGGTACTGATAGCTTGAACAGGTGAGAGTTCACAGCTGTGGCGTGTGTGTGTGTAGGGTGAGGAATCCTAGTCAGCTTACGTCACTGGTGGTCAGGCAGGGAGGGCTAGGGAGTTCGGTTTCTTTTTTAATAACAATGATTAACGTTGAGCAAGTGCTGACAGTGTGCCAGGTACTGGTCAGACCCGGGAGGGGCCCACAGGGGAAGGGCCTGCACAGCCCCATTGTTCTGCACCCTCTGTGAGCCAGCCTTCTGTGTGGTCCCAGTTAGACGTGGAGCAGACAAGCCCCAGAATTACCAGGTTTAGCAAAGAGCTGAGGACAGGGTTAGGATTATATACCTTGAAAGAAGGGTCTCCTTCCACCCAGCTCCCAGCACCTGTGTGTTTCTCTCCGTTGCACGTGGAAGCCGTGGATTCAGTGCATTTCTGTTGTCAGTTGTTTCCTCTGCACACTGGTTCTTTCCCCTGGTTCTGCCTCTTGCACTATAAGCTCCTGGAGGGCCGTGTTCTTCTTGAGTGTCTGCAAGCCATGTCCCAAGTCCCCAGTTCCTTTGTGGAACTGACTCTGCAAGGGTGCTATTAAGCGCGGATTTTCACTCGGAGCTGTAGTCTTTGCAGTGGAAACCGTGGTCTGTGCGAAATGGGGGCTGCAGGGTATGAGAGCAGACTGCAGAGCAAAGCCGTATTCTGCTCACCAGCCTCGGGGAAAGCCAGTGCATTGGACTTAACTATGCTGCTGTGTGGTCCAGACCAGCCTGATACCATGACTAGTGGGATATATTCTGGATCCTTATGTCTCCAGGGACTAGCCCTAATTTTTGTTCAGGCTCGTGTTTCTTTTCCTCTATATGATGGCCTTAAAAATGTCATATAATTTGGCTTAAGTCAAAACCATAGTTTGTAATGGGGATTTTTAGGGGCGCTGACTTTTCTCAGTGTGAACATTTCTACTAGTGGTCCAAGCTGGGAACAATTGTTGGGGCTGCTTTTGCACACAACCTCAGGTACCATTTTCTCCCCCTGCCCCGCTTTTATCCTTTTCTTTTTTCTCTTCCCTTTCCACTCTTCCCTGACTATAGAAGCACCATGTGCATTGCTTAACCCTGATGGTGACAGGCAGATTCCTGACCCCTCTGGGGGACAGTGTACATGGAGCCCCCATCTCAGTGGCTTTCCTCTGCAGCTGAGCCCACTTGTGTATGGAAGAGTGGCCCACCTCCTAACCCCTGACCCTGGCCTGTCTTCGTTAATTAGAGCACAGTGATTTATTTATAAGCACCAAGTCTTTGCCAGAAAAACTGCCCGGTTGCTCTGGGTAGCACAACTGAGGCTGGTCTGGCACAGAAGGTGTTCTAGCAGCTAAGGAATTCCAATAATCTCCACCTGTTCTTATCATTTACAGGGTGGAGGATATACGTGAGCTAATTATCTAACATATCTATAACATTTTCTCTAATGCACTTGTTACAGAAACCTTGAGTCCCTCCTCGGTAACCTTTTTTGTTAGTCGTGCTTTTCCGTCAGCTTCAGTCGCCTGAAATAATAAAACAGCTCATGTGCCTCAAAAGTCTCTGAAATGTGTTTGCCCTTTTCCATTGGTGGCTCTGCTGCCAACCCAGGAGAACTCCTCTGTAATACCAGAAAAAGGAGATGAGTAAACTTCCTGTTTGTATTCAGTTTCACTAGTGATGACAATCAATGTTTGCCTTTTAATGCTCCATGAACATTTTCTGTTAAGAGGTATATTTCCATTTCCTTTTGTAGGTAGGAGTTCAGGCCTTGTGATTATCTTAGATTTATACCTTCACTCTTCTCATTCCCCTTTAGAGTTGAGAATCATGGCTGCGGGAAAATTTGCAAGCCTTCCCAGAAACATGCCTATGAATCACCAGTTCCCCCTGGCCTCGTCCATGGACCTTCTGAGCAGCAAGTCACCTCTCGTCAATCATCACACAGATGCCTATCAAGACGTGTCTATACACGGCACCCTTCCACGGAAAAAGAAAGGGCCTCCTCCCATCAGGTCCTGTGATAACTTCAGTCACATGGGCACCCTTCCCCATTCTAAATCCCCACGGCAGAACTCACCTCTGACCCAGGACATCATCCAGGAGCACCCACTGCAAGACTGGATAGGCGAAACCTTCACCTCCAGGTAACTTTTTTAATTTCATGAAGGAAAATGACTTGTCTGAAAGGGCTTTTTTAAAAAAAGTTGTTTTCTTGGGGAAAATGTCAAACATGTACAAAGTAGAGCAAATAGTTTAATTAACTTCCAAGGACCTATCACCCAGCTTCAAGAGTTATCAACACACAGACAGTTCTGCTTTGTCTAGTCTCCCACCCACTTTCCTTCCTTTAGTATTATTTTGAAGCAAATTTCAGACTTTATTTTATTTTATCTGTAAATATTTTAGTATGTGTCTTTCAAAGATAAGGACTCCTATTTAAAAATACATAACCATAATATAAAAAACTATGACACTTAAAAATAATAAATCATTTCTTAATATTATCCAATATTTGAGAGTATTTTCAAAGCCAGCTGCCGACATCATTAAGTCCCTCAAAAATAATTTTTTTAATCATAACATCAGATTCTGAACTACATCCATCCAATTCTATAGCTATGCCAGGATGTCTATAAATTAGGACCTGTATCTCCTTGTATTTAGTCGCAGTAACATGCTGAAATAAAATTTTGTGTGGACACCACATCGGGTCAGCTTCAGAATATAATAGAATTGATTTCTCCCTCTATCCACCAAGTATCTGGGTAAATAAGCCTATGGTTGTAAAGGCTTCTTTTCTGGGTTTGTAATGGGCCTGGCTGTGATTGGTTCCTGCTTGTTAGAGCTGGTTTAGAAACTGCACCCCTTTTCCTGATCAGGAAGATCGGCAATCTGTGATGCTATCAGACAGAGATGGAGGTGGTTTCTTCTGTTATATCTCCTGGTGTGTCTCTTTTTGTCCAACTCTGTAGCAAAGCAGGCCACTTTGATCCTGGCTCATGTATTTGTTCAATGTCTATATATTGAGCACCCACATTAATTAGAGTACACTGATTTTATAAGCACTAGTGCTTCACCTGAAAATTTTTTCTCAGTTCCTCTGGGTATCTTAACTGAAGGGCTGATCCAACATTGAAGTCATTCTGGCAGCCAAATCATTCCAGTAATCTACTCTTGCCCTTTTACAGGGTGGAGAAATATGTGAACTAACAGGATAGCTATGGAACATCTGAAACAGTGTCCTTCCAGTGCTAATATTCTAGCAAAGAACTCTGATAATAAATTAAAGTAGATAAACGAGACAATTGCAGATTACAGTAAGTGTTATAGAGGAAGTAGAGTGATATGCTGAAGATTTATTGGGGTTGTAACTTTTCTGTAGGGTGGACAGGTCTCTGAGGAGATGATATTTAAGCTAAGACCTGCATAATGAGAGAAGATAGCATGGATGAACCAGTGGAAGGCTGTTCCAGGCATAGGGAGAGCAAGTGCAAAAAAATTGAGGTGGGAACAAGTGTGGCATGTTTGAAAAACCCAAAACAAAGCTGGTGTGGTCTGTGGCTGGAGTATAGCAACTTGAGAGAAGAATTGTATAGATGTTGGGAGAGAGCTAGGCAGGCAAGAGTTCAGAGTTAGTTTTGGTATTGCAGTAGTACAAGAAAATAAGTGGAGGCCCAGATAGTCTCTGTGGAAAGCATTAGAGGGCTTTGAACTGTTTTTCACAGCAGACCAGAAGGTTCCCCAGGGTGAAACAGGTCCAATAGAAGGCCCTGGACCTGCTCCAAAAAAAATCTAGGTGGGTGACCTCCCAGGACAGAGAGCTAGTTGGTGGCCTGCTGATGAAACAGGTAAATGTGGAGGTTTGTACCTACACACAATATTGTTCATATCGTGTCATGGGCAAGAGGCAGAAGGGGAGTAATCATTGCAGCAAAGAAAAATCACTTCTGGTCAGCCAAAAATAAGCACAAATGCAAGGCTGCACGAGGTGGTGTCAGAACCAATTGTTACCTGGCTTCCTATGGCCACTTTTTATTTTTTAAGTTAAACTCTGTATTAAGTTAGATGTCTCCTATGTACCACACACAGACAATTCACAAACTCATTTCTTAAAGGTCTAAGGTCCTGGCTGGGTGCCAGCTCTTACAAGGGGAAACCCCAGGGTGCTGGGATAGTAATGGAGTCACCCTTCCTATCTTCAGGAAGTTCTTGATAAACATCCAAGGTCCAAGCTGTCAACCTGTGAGAAGTTCAAAGCTTTTTTGATTTGAAAACTGACTTGGACAGAGATCAGATCTCTGTAAAAGATCTTCTCCGGGTGGGCGCAAGTCCTGAGTTTGAAGTCCAGGCAGTGGAAGCCTTAACAAGCACTGCTGATTGAGGCTTGTTTATGATTCAGAACAATGTTCATCCAAAGTCACGTCTTTCTTCTTTAATTTAAAATATCTTATTGTTAAGGGCGCCTACAGGAAGGAACCAATGCATATCCTTTAAAATTATGCTGAGTGAAACAGCACGTGGCTGTGTGTCAAAGGATCAAGTCCTACTCCCCGCCCCCACTGCTCACTCATCTTATTAACATATTTTATTGCTCTGATATTTTTTTAAATCTCCTAACGTGTTCCCAATTTTGAGGAGTTCAAAGTACCTTATATTCTTTTTTTTAAAATCCTTTTAAGTAGTCCTAATAAGATTGTGAGCTGTTTCAATTCCTTTTAAGAACAAGCCGCCGTGTAAACAAAATTTGTGCATATGAAGAGCTCGAGACATGCAGAATGAACGAGAACCCCAAGTTCCTAGGAGGGGGGTTTTGGCTAACGTGCCACAAGGGAACTACTGGAAGAGAGAAATAGCATTTCTATTCCCAACTCACGCTTACAGCCTACACGGAGCTGTGAGACACCAGCTGCCCACCACTCCAGCTCACTTACCACTGGAAGCTGAGAGCCGTGTCTGTTTTGAAGTTAGCGTCTTGGATCTTTGGATCTAAGACTAGTTAGGTCTGCCTTTAACAAGATTATTGATATTTGGGGGGCTTTTTTCATGTAAACATTTTTGGCCTTCCTTGTTTCTTTTCATAGTGAATTCAAGGGTTAATTTCATGACTTGCCGATATGTCAAATCTGAAAACCTTCCATTTGGTCACATTTGGTGTTGGCATGATGATAGTGGGGCCATCATGGAGAGCCTGGACCCACTCTTCATGTATACCCTGCCTACATGCAGAAAGAAACCCTCCGGACAGCTTCTCCTTGTCTTGGGAAGTACTCTGATAAGTTGCAAGTTTGCTATTTTCCAAACAAATATGTTCCCATATCAATCATTAAAAGTCACTTTTATTGTTATGATTGAATAGTAATTGAATATTCACCCTGTGGGAGGCCCCAGGCAAAGCAGAGAAAGTCTCTCCTTTGACCTAAAAATTTGCATTATTAAGCTATCATAGCCACATGAATTATTCTCTCTTAAATTTTACAGTTTTAAAATATCTTAAAGGATATGGTCATAAATTATCTTGTTTGAACATCATCATCCTGTGTGAGAGACACAGCAGATTTCATCGTGAGCGTCATCATCATCATCATCATCATTATTTCTCATTTCATCATGAGAAAATGCCTCAGGGATGTTGGGGCACCTAAAAGTCAGACCATAACCGTGGTGGGTGACTGAGCTAGGACCAGAACCCAGAAAGTGCTGTAGAGCCTTCCCCTGTGCTCACAGCCTCTCAAGAATGTTGGTGCCAGCTGTGAGCAACTTCTGAGCTACCTTCTTGCATGGACAGCCTCATTGCACATAGTGTGAAAGCAGCGCCTTGGACACTCCCCTTGGGGAGAATAGAGCCTTAGTTGCCAAGAGCCAGGCAGAAGGCAGGCCTGGAAGGGGGAGTTGGTCTCCTCATTCGGAGACTGTATCTCTTGGCTTTGTTGTTGTCTTGGCTGCCCTTGGATGTACTTGTGGTTTTGAAAGGTGGCCAAAGCGAAAAGCCAGAGCGCTCTTAAACCTGCTGCTTGATGTCACAGAAGGAGCCTTTGTTCTGCAGGCAGAGCAAGGCTTCTCCGACAGGTCTGCAGACAGGATTTCCTCTTGACATTAGTGTTTGGCCGGTGTCACTTTGATTCCTTTATCTTCAAGGATAAATTTTTATTGAATCTGGGACCTTCCTTGGGCTAAGAGGGGTCTGGTTCCTGTTGTTGGATGTCTGTGTTGCTGGGATGGCTGAAGGATCAACGCTTGGAGACGATCCGGGTCCTTTTCCTGTCTGTGGGTACGTGGAGGCACGCATTCCTGGGAACAGCTGCCTAGTGCCTAATTCCTTCTGCCCCTTGTGCTGTGGGAGCTTGTAGCGGGACAATGTGATGTTTCATTAATTTGCATGAGTGGAGCTGACTGACTGGTCACAAGTGTTTTAACTGACAGGGGCCAGAAAGTCTGCGGAATTATCCCAAGTTAAAATCCAGTATACTTTCCCAGGCAGTAAGTAACCTACCATGTTACAGTGTCAGCTCTTCAAAACTGCAGCAAAAGTGTGAGGCACGAGATCCGAGCAGACGCTTCTCTAAACACTGATTTAAAGACTTTGCTCTGGGCTATGTCAATGCCCTCATCTGAAAAATTGTCTCATTTGTCCCCCTTTAGAACCATCAAGTCCTATAAGGACTGCTTTCTCCTTAACAAAGCAGGTGTCCCCCCCCCCATAAAGCAGTCTGTAGCTCAAAGTTAATCAGAAGGATCCAAATGTGAAGGTCCACATGCAAACATCTGCATTTTATTTATATGTGGGCACATCTGCTATCAGCAGATTGGAAGCTTTTCATGCCCAGAGGAAAAGTTGGGTTTAGAGTTGAAAAAAAATCTAATAGATTAGTAGATTCTATTTAATAGAAGGTCATCTATTCAGTTAGTAGAATGACAATGGCTTAACAGCCAAGAATGCCTCTATGAAGTAATCATCCATTCATTGAATTTTTATTTTTTAAATTTCAAGTTGAGTTTTGATAATATTTTGAAATGCCCCTTCGTATTTGAACGCAGCTGTTGTGGATGGGTTAGTGAATTGTGAGGAATGGTGCATGTCCGGGCCCCAGGGGTCCCTGGGGTGCTGAGGCCTGGAGCAGCTGGGTCAGAGGTGAGCTCAGCCCCT